GATTGCCATTTGAGGATTCGTCATTCGATTTAGTTCACCAAAAATTCATGGTCGGTGCTTTTACTGAAGTACAATGGGAAGAGAAAGTTATTCCAGAATTGATGAGGTTAGTTCGATCAGATGGATGGATCGAGATCTCAGAAGCTGATGCTATACTTATATCTGATGGAACCGTTACAAGGAGAATTGCAAAAGCTTGTAAGTAAAACAATACCCTAAAACATTAATCAAATAATATATTTTATATACTTTTATTTTAGTTCATGATTTTTTGGTATCTAAGGGAATAAACCCTTCAATTGGAAAAGAAATTCCGCGTATTTTTGAAAACTCAAATGTGTTTTCAGAAATTAAACATCAACAAAAAACTATAAAGCTTGGTAAAAAGCATGGTGAATCTGGTAAAGAGGTAAATATGTGCATAACGAATTTATCCACATAATATTATATGCTTCCTCTAATACAAGTACACCCTTCTATTCAAAGTCTCTAAGATTTTGTGTTAGTGGTCTCAACTCTGCTAGAGGTACTTTAGCGACCTCGATGAATATAATACCCGAGCATTATGATGCTCTCCTAGAAACAATGTATATTGAAGCAGAAAAATGTTCTACTGATTTTATTCAACATCGAATTTGTGCTCGCAAAATTTAAGTTGTAGCTTATACTTTGTTTTTACGATTTGGAAACTAGATTGCAATTAAAGCCATTATAATATCATCCTTTATAGGTGCATATACATGTGTAGTAACATTATAAAATGTGATCATATTTCATATTTTGCATCTTTATCATTAGCGTTATCATTATTCTCATTCTCATTCATCGACTTTATTGTTTTGTAGCTATCTTAATAATATTATTATTATTATTTTTCAATTCATTTTCATTATTAAAAAAAGCTAATTCTTTGGTGTTACTTATTATTTTATTTTTTATTAATATTATTTAAATCTTTCTGTAATTTATAATACCATTCAATGCCAAGAAAAAAGTAATCTTATTAATAAAATAATGTCAGTTATTTTTAAAAATTAAAAAGCGACTTGAATTCTTCAAAAAATAAATTCAGTATAATAAGTTCTTCAAGTTAATGAAATCACTTGCTCTTAATATATATAAAACTGCAGTAATATTAGAATCGCTGATTTCATATTCTCATAATCTCATAAGATATATCAGATTTCATAATTTATAATTTATATTTTTATTTTTAATATCATTATTTCTTTTTTTATCCTTATCTAATTTTATATTTTATTTTAATCTCATATTATTATTTGTATTATTAAAAATTTACCATTTAGTATCCTCTTTTTTAATATTATATTTTAGTTCTTTTTATTTTAAATTTGATTTGCTTAGATTTTATTATATTCTTATTTTTCTTTTCTAGAAAGTTTATTAAAATTTTGTATTGTGCAATAATAATAATTTGTTTTTCAGTATATACTATATATTGCTGATATGTAGTGTTATATCAGAGAAAAGTCACATAAATTACATGTACAGTCATCACAGAAAGTAACACCTGATTTTTTAAAAAATAAAATTTCAGATTTATTTTATTTCTGTCTTATAAATATAAAAATATTTTTACCAATAGATAATACATAATTAACTCTTCATATGGCTCTAATATTACTTTGTTTTCTCAAGATATTCAGTCTACAACCTTTTCAAAAGCCAACATATCAAATTTTCTTCAGAGTAGTCTTGAGCTTTTACGTGATCTTTGAGAAGCTTTTTCATTTTAGAATATTATTTTCCAATGACTTGGAGAAATTTCTATGAAGTTTGAGTCATGAAAACATAATATTCATTGATTTCTCTATTTGATTCTATTCATGGCTTCTTTTTCTAATATAGATCAAGATTTATTTTTTTGAAACATTATGTTCTCTCAAATTAATGAATAAATTATATTATAAAAAGAGATCAAATTATCTTAGAAAGTCTTTAAAAAAGATTTTGCATGAATTTTTTATTGTCAATATTGTGAAATAACTCAGGATATCTTTTTTTACTTCTTGTATAGATGCATTTTTTTCTTGATTTTTAAAGACCTATAATCTTTTAGATAATGAAAAATTTTTATTTTCCTATCTTTTTTGTACTTGGCAAGAGATCTTATACTATTATTAGATTACAACATATTTTTTTAATTTAAAAAAATAACTTGATCTATATTAGGGAAAAAAATAAAATAGAATAAATCAGTACCAAGCAAATTATAATTAGCAAATTATATTATAAAAGAGATCAAATTATCTTAGAAAATCTTCAGATAAGTTTTGCATAGATTTTTTATTACCAATATTATGAAATAATTTAGAATATCTTTTTTAATTTTCTTATATGTATTTTTTTCTTAATAACTATAAGCTTATAATCTTTTAAACAGTGCTAAATTTTTATTTTTTCTGTTTTTTTTATACTTAATATGAAATTATTATATTCTAACTGAATTATATTGTTATAGCAAATTGGTAAGTGGAGTTTTACTTTAATTCACTCTAACAATATAGGATTGGGAGAGACTGAAATAATTAAAGGTAATGAGAGAGAATTAGATTATAACTTTCAATAATGACAAAGATTTCTAAGATCTATACCAATATCTATGAATATTATCTTAACAAAGGATAATAAAATAAAGAAAGAATAAAATAAATCAAGGAAATTATAAAGATTAACTGAGTGAAATTACTAGTAATCCATATAATTCAAGATTTGAATTGATTAAATAGTAAACTATTAATCAAAGAAGACTATAACTAAAGTAAAGATAAAAATTATAATATGAAAACTAAATAACTAAATAAAT